AGTGCAATCATTTTTTCCTGCACAAACTAGTAATAATTGAGCTACTTTTTATCAAAAGATGGAAAGAAACGGTCATCACATACTCTAAAGGCTGCACTCCTAAGCACACTTATTAGGGAGTAAGTCTTACTGTACTCAGTGGGATTTATTTCTGAGTACAGATGTTTAAGGATTATATGGTGAGGGAAGCTAGTTTGCGGTTTATGATTCTGGTTGCAAAAACAATAAAGACAATACATAAAAGTAAGGGAAGCTAGCAGGTAATGTGGGTCTTCTAAAATAAAAATTGCATTCAGGCAACCTTATTCTTCAGTTTAACAAAAACTGGTGTAGTCAGTGCATCCCTCTAGAAAACAACACCTACCCACCTCCACCTTGGCTGAAATCACTTTGATCTAAGGATGATCATGAAACTCACTACATATCTAATTTTGGCAGACTGGATAAGTTAGGAAGATAAGCATCATTCTACAGCTAATTCCAGAGGGAACCTACTGAATATAGCTTTCATCTGCAGTTACCTTATCCCACCCTACCCATATAATTTTCAAATGAAATATTTATAGTCTATTTTGGACTCTACATGGACTTCATTTGTAAAAATTCCAAAGGCATCTCAGGAGGAGGATTTTTTTTACAACATTGTTACAACATGGCTTGCAAACTCTACATTGAAACTGCTGAATAACCTAAGTAATTCTCAAAGAGAATCAATAGCAAAATATTTGTTAATTTGAAATGGTAGCACAACGCCCCAAACCCTGTTACTGTATGTAAAACCCTTATGCTTTGGGAATTTATGAAAAAAATATCTTACACCAAAATTCATTTAGATGACACTGGAAGTATAAAAACTGCTACAAGACTGAATTCTATGCTAACAAACGAGCTGAAATGTATCAAAGGCCGTTTCCCACTAACAGCAAAAAGACTGAAGTGATCATAACAGCTTTTTAAAGTAGAGAAATGTCCTTTATTCTTCTTTGGTCCCAGTCTTGGGACATCATTCCAACTAGCCTCAGTAGGACTATTTGCACAAATATTCAGGTTTAGGGACAGGCTCTGCTATTTTTATCCACAGGAACTGGGACATTACTCTTCAAGCAGAACACGCAATAAAATAGACATGGCCTAATCTCTCTATTAAAAAACGGGGTTTGTCTTATTAAACTGTGCCAAGAAGTAGGCAACCTATCACATCAAGTCACCTAAGGATGTGGTTCCTCGGAACCCACAGGGAATGAACATGCCTCCAGACTGTCTCACATACCGTATGTGAGCTGGGATGGCATGTCACGGAGTGGAGATGGGACAATAACTGTCTAGTACGACCGGCAAGAGCAGACGGTGACAGCAGGGGAAAATACAGAGGTGAGAGCTGATGAGAAAAATGGGAATTTACTGACATAGAGGAAAAACATATTTTAGAGTAGAGTTTCTCAAACAAATCCACAGACACCTGGGTTATTCAAGTTAACTCCACGGGGTCTACAATTCCTTTGCAAGGACAGAGGGCAAGCCTCTCTCTCTTACACATCTGGCCATTGCAAAACCCGAGCCCCACGGTTTTCTAGAAATGGGGCGTCAGGGATTCTCTGCCACCCCCAACAGTTATCTAGCTTCCAGATCCCCTCAGGGCAGTAGCCAAAAATATGCTGACTGGCTGCTGGGATCCGATAACTCAGGCTTAGAAACTCTAATTGACTGAATGGTATCAAGCAGGTATAGTTGGAATAGTAATTAGTTGCTTAAGGAATAAAACCGAACTGATTTTTACTCTGTTGTCCAATGAAAAGTATTTTATTCCAGAGATGCCATCTGCAGACAATTGCCAGTTGTGGTTTTCGGCACCAGAAATTCAGGTCATGCATGACGCTGATCCATTTCTGTTTCTGTGAGCATCTCTGAAAGTTTTTCTGGTCCCCTTTTCCACCTGTTTTGCTAGCTTCAGGCTAGAAGTTAACCCATAATTGTCTCTGCTCAAAACGCCTTCCAATCAAGGGATAAGATTGAAGAAGGAGAAGAAGAAGAAATTGGATTTATATCCTGCCCTTCACTTGGAGTCTCAGAGCGGCTTACAAACTCCTTTCCCTTCCCCTCCCCACAACAGACACCCTTGTGGGGTAGGTGGGGCTGAGAGAACTCTGGCACAAACTGCTCTTTCAGGAACAGCTGTGCCAGAGCTTGTGACTGACCCAAGGTCACATCAGCAGGTGCAAGTGGAGGAGTGGGGAATCAAACCGGTTCTCCCAGATTAGAGTCAGCACACCTAACCACTACACCAAACTGATAAGAACTTTTAAGTTGTTGCCCCTCTAAAATCAGGCATACTTTGAGACCTGACTGTCAAGAAACTGGCCTTGTTTAGTCGTTTCTTGTCCTTTCAAAAGTTTGGTCCAGTCTTTTGGGCCTAGTTAATTTACTAAAGGCTCCTCTCTGGGAAGCAAATGTCATGATGACTTGCATTTTCAGAGAGAGGAATAAGGGATGAGCTGGAGTCAGACACAGATGCAAGGGAGATCATGGGCCTGGGCGCTTCAAGGCCAGAGACCTAGAGTGATGTCTGCACTGACATGCCATCTCATTAGCACAAGGAACCCTGGATATGAGACAGTTGCTTGACGGCGACTACGTGTCAGCTGCAGAGGTATGCAATCACTGTTTTAGCAACAAACCCAATTGGCCAAACAGGATCAGGCCAGCTGTGGGAAGTCTGGCATAAAGCAAGGCCACTTATTTTAGTTTGGTGCTTCTAGACACCTTCTGGTGATAGGTTTGGCCTTGCAAGGCCAGAACACCTGCTCTATCTGGACTTCGTATCTTCAGTCCGGCAAGGTGGCATCTGGGTCAGAGGAATAAAGCCTGAATAAGTATTACAGATTAGCTATTTAGTTTTCATTATTTTCTTCCCTGTTTTGCACTATTCTTATATTTCTATACTTTTGCACATTTCTTTAATAAACATTAATAATTATACTCCTGTGGTGTTATTTAGGTTTTGGGGCTTCAATCTAAACCCAGTACTTATTTTGGCTACAGCTACCAAAGTCATTGTTTTTGGAACTCGGCTTGCAAGTGTTCTAGCTTGCGGGGCTGACTTCTTGATTGACCCCTGTTAGGGGTCCTCTTGGCTGAGGGCTATTTTAGAGGGGCTGGTGGTGGCTTGTTACCCTGGGCAGTGAGGATTCACTCCCCAGGCTTGTGCATTTTGCTCTTGACCTACAACCCAACATTTTCTTGTGGGACAAGGGAGCTTTGACACTGACTTTGTAGGATCTTTGCAGACAATGCGAACATTTTACCTAGATATGTTGGCAAAGGCTTTCATGGCCGGAGTCCATTAGTTGCTGTAGATTTTCCGGGTTTTGTGGCCATGTTATGCCTCTGAGGACGCCAGTCACAGTTACTGGCGAAACGTTAGATTCTACAATGCCAAGACCACAACCACACAACCCGGAAAATCTACAGCAACTAACTTTACCTAGACTTCCTTTTAATGTTTAGCTGATGTGGCTCTCACTATATAGTTTGAAGGACAGTAGAGGAGGCCTCCACAGGGCATCTGTGGCTTGCCGCGCACTTTGAAAGCAGCCCGTCCAGTGCATGCACATGCTGTTGAAAGATGAGGGGAGGGCTTATACCTCACAATTAAAAGTGCCTACCAAAGCAAGAAGAAGCACAAAAACATGTACAGTGAGGACTGGCTGGAAGTCCTTTTTAAATACTGTACAGCTGTAACTTTTGATCTCTGTATCAGGAGAGTACATTTTGGATTATATTTCCAACGGTTTATATGCCTGTTCTGTTTATGCTGTGCAATACTTCATTTTTGTGCAGAAAGTCAGGTCCATTGAAGTTGCCTAAAAATGCACCTTTAAAAATTATCCTTCTTTAAACAGGAAAAGAGGAAAATACTAAAAGCTGTGTGTATTCAATGACTGCATCCAGAAGTGCAAAAATGAAGAGTTTAGTACAGAATTCAGTATGTTTCTAGCCCTTAAGGCCAAGAAGAGAAGCCCAAAAGTAAGGCCCAAGCTACATTTGAACAGAATTGCCACAGGGACTGGCAGGACACTAGCGGCAAGTTCCCCATTGGGATCATGTGATCAAAGTAACATATAGTTCAGGCCTATCTTGGCAAAAGAAACCTCACTTTTTGGGGGGGGGGGAGAGGGAGAGAATAATGCAACTTTCGATTTGGCAAGGGCAGTGCTTCTAAGTTCTCTGTCTTACTAGGCTCCTCCTCACTTGGAACTGAAAATGGGAAGCAGGCAAAAGCATGCTTTGGGGAGATCCTGGATTTCTACTTTTCTTAGTGCAGAATTTGGGTTATCCTTGTGCAAATTTTAATAATTTCACATAAAAAGCACACAATCCCTAGAACAGAAATTCTTTCCCCCTTTCAATATTACCATGGACTAAAAGACGTCTTACAAGGAAAATAATAATTTCTTAGTTTAAAATATTTTTTGCATATTTTTCCCTTGAACTATTTACTGAAATGAAAACAAAAAGGGCAAATTGAGCTTGCCTTGCTCAGAAGACTGGTGCAAATAGTATTCATGACCTGTCTTCACTGATTAAGGAAGGAATTTGACCCTCAAACAATTCCCTAAATAGGGATAACACTAATCATCGAAGTGCACTTGACACCATAGGAGCTACAATAGTTTTTATACATGCACACTTTGTAGGACACTTTGTACATGAAACTAAACAATGGAATATAAATAAGTGAGCATCTTTTGTAAGTACACAAATAATAAAGTTCATTTACATTCTTTACTTTCCAAGATGCTGATGGAAAAACAAGATCTTCCCAACAGGAAGTCTGAAGATATTCACTAATGCAGTAAAATCTTCATTCACACACATACACACCCACACAACTTTCTTACACATCACCCCCATACTTCAGGATACGCACAGCTGTGAGACTATGAGAAGTCCAAGACAGGACATACTCCTCTCACCAGAAGAGGATGGTAGGACTGTTGGTATTAATTCAGTTTCTTCTGTAAGGGATTTCTTCTTCCTTCTATAATTTCTGGGCTGAAGTCTGTACAGAAACCATTAGGAGCAGGATTCTTCAAATAACTTTCTGTTTCCACCTGATCAGGATATAAATACTCTTCAGCGAAGTTTGGGTACATTTCTGCAAACCTGTGAAAATCATCTGGAAACAGATGAGAAGAAAACTTACATTTCAAGCACATTAAAATTCTTGACATTTTATTATCTATTTTTGGTATGATTTTTGTATGTCTCTCAGGTCAATAATGCTATTATGCAGAACACAAGCTGCAGACTCACCAAAGAATTATGGGTGAAAGGAGATGGACACAACTGAAAAATATCTGACCTAAATGTGCCCAGGATAATCTATTAAGGATTTGTGGAGACCAATCCCATTTTTTGGTTTCCCGTTAAGTAAACTCTTAACTGCTCTCAATTCTCATCCAGCCTTCTTGGTGTTTTATTAATTAAGTATTTTTATATATGTATTTGTTTTGGATGTACATATTTATTTATTTATCTTTGGGGTTATATCCCGCCCTACCCCGAAGGCTTTTTCTAGAATTATTCATCAAATTATTCATCAAATCGAACACAAAATAATAGCAATTTTCTGCATGCCTTTTATACTATAACCCTTTTACTGTACAGAAAAATTCATACCATGTCTGTGGCCCCATTTTACTGCCCCACTGAGGGGCACTAATCTATCTGTCCACACTGATAGGCGAATGGGATCAATCAATATCTGGTGTTTCTCAGCCTTCAGAGAACACACTATTTGTCTACAGGGAAATCCTTGAGCATCTGTAAATGAAATTCCTGTGCACTGGATAAAATTTGGGAACATGATCTAGGTTGTGATTTCACTGAACACAGAACACCGGCCCAGGCCTTTTATACTTTACCACCACCCTGTGTGAACTGAACAAAAGACAGAAAATGGTTTTTTAATAAAGGGAAAAGTGATCTGAAAGATTTTACTTCTCCTGCTGCATATATTTTCTTGTGTCCCACTGTCTCTTCTGGTCAAACAAATAGTTCAAGATTTTTAAACAGAATAACGACACAGCCTATTTAGAGACAAAACGGGAACAATTGCATTCATATAAGAAGAAGAAGAGGAAGAGATTGGATTTATACCCCACCCTTCACTTGGAGTCTCAAGAGTGGCTTACAAACTCCTTTCCCTTCCCCTCCCCACAACAGACACCCTGGGAGGTGGGTGGGGCTGAGAGAGCTCTGACACAAAGTGCTCTTTTTCAAGGACAGCTGTGCCAGAGCTTGTGACTGACCCAAGGTCACATCAGCAGGTGCAAGTGGAGGAGTGGGGAATCAAACCCGGTTCTCCCAGATTAGAGTCCGCGCACTTCACCACTACACCAAACTGGCTCTCTCTTCTAATCTCTTCTAATTATGCTTCTATTCTCTGAAAGCAGAACAGAGAGTGCACCCTACACCCCAAACCTTCAGGTGCAGATTGAAGGGGAAAGTTGGAAATTGTGAGCAAATTGTCTTTCAAGATAGCTTGTCTGTCCTTATTGGATCTTCTCAACAAGGCACCACCCAAAGCCTTCCAGGCAGCCCCAGGTTTCCTCAGCATGCAGTTTCAAAGTCTCTGTTCTAGTCAATTCAAGTGAGGAACAAATTCAGAAAGAATGGGGATGATTAAATTGGGTACAGAAAAGCTAAACAGTAAAAGTGTCTTGTCTGCATAATGGAAAATTGTCCTGTGAATTTAATAATGGGAATCACAAAATCCTATTCTTAGAAGTGATAGGAGGGGTGTTCTAGATCCTTTCTGATTGCCCCTCCTACCAGAGGCAGGGCCAGTATGCAAATGAAAACACTTCCACTGCTTGGCAAGAACAGGAACACCCACCTCTATATGTCAAGACGCTTGAAAGGAAAATGAACATAACACCCATTAGGTGGAAACATTAATAGTGTCCAGAAGAAAGCAAAATCCAGCACAGAAAGAGAGATGGAAGGATCAGATTTCACTACCATTCATGGCAAGAATTTCAGTTTTTCTTCAGCAGAGGCAGGAGGTCATTCTATATTTTAAAGGATAAGGTAAAGGAGAACCTCCTCAGGAAGATATTCAGGTGATGGCCAAGTGATCTCTTGCAGGACACTCCTCACAAAGGCCATCTCTGCAGAAGAGAAAAACAGGTTGCTCACCTGTAACTGATGATCTTCGAGTGGTCATCTGTGCAGTACCACACATGGGTTGGGCACCTGCGCACGACCTCGACCAGAGAACATTCCAGAGCTTGCCTCAGTAGTCTTTTTGGCGGGCTCTTTTCTCGCCCTGGTGAGCAGACACGCACTGCGCATGCCTGGAGCGGGGGAGAGAGCTGCCTCCCACTCAGTTCCTTCGACCGCTACAGGTAAGTCCCATCAACTCAAGGTAAGTGGGGAAGGCTGGGTGGGATTGTGGGACTGCACAGATGACCACTCGAAGATCATCAGTTACAGGCAAGCAACCTGTTTATCTTCATCATGGTCACTGTGCAGTCCCACACATGGGTGACTAGAAGAGCTGAACCAGGTGGAGGAGGGAGCTGGCAGCTGGAAGAGAGAATAAACAGGTTAGGACATTGCAGTATGGTTTACAGGTCTGACCTGAAGAAGTAGAATCATCAGGTGAAGAGAGATTGGAGCACCGCCTGGCCAAATGCAGCATCCCATCAAGCTCGAATGTCGAGTGCATAGTGGGACACGAAGGTCGATGTCGAGGACCACGTAGCCACAGCACAGACGTCTTCCAACGGGACACCAGCTAGGAAGGCCGTAGAAGTCGTAACTGCTCTTGTGGAGTGAGCAGTGATACAGGCGGGTACGGGTTGGTTTGCCAACTCATAGCAAAGGGCTATGGTGGAGGTAACCCATATGGACAGTGTTTGAGAGGAGATCGGCTCACCCTTCAACAGAGAACCATAGGCAACAAAAAACCCTGGAAACTTTCAAAAAGGCTTTGTTTGATGGAGGTAAAAGGAGAGCGCCCTCTGGAAATTAAGGCAGTGCAGGGCTCTCTGAGGTGCGTCAGCCGGGTTGGTAAGTAGGTAAAATAGAAGACTGAAAGACAGAAACGACTTTAGGTAGGAAGGAGGAATCTGGCCGGAGAACTACCTTTTCCTTGTGGAAAACTGTATATGGGGGATCTGCATGCAAGGCAGACAGTTTCCCCTTCCCAGTGAGCTGTAGTAATAGCAATTAAAAATGCCGTCTTCCACGAGAGGAGTCGAAGATCCACTGAAGCCATCGGTACGAACGGCTTACTTATGAGTTCCATCAAAACTAGAGACAGACTCGAGATCCGGTTCCGGTATGGCGCTGTGACGATCCTCTTACGTTCTTTTTGGAGCCCCCCTGGGTTCCAGGTGGGCTCCGCTTGGTTTCCTGGAGGGAGACCAAGTGGCAGGAGGCTTTTTCCAGTCCCCTCCATCTTCGGCAAGGACGGGGGTGAGACAGGCTTTGCCTCGAAGCAGGGGCGTTTGAAGAGCAGGGACATGGTCACCATGTTCCCGCATAACAGTGGCCAGCTGTTTTTAAAATATTTACTTTTGAATTAGATTTGACACATCACAGTGAAGAGTTTATTCTATGTAGACTTAAGTTGAAA